TTGTGACCATCTATAAACTCACTAGGGGGGGACCAGAAGGGTTTGGGGGGACCTTGTTTCCCCTAGCGCCCCCCCGGGATAACAAGGAATAACGGCCACAAGTTGTTGGAGATTTAGGTCAGATTAGACATCCATAAGAACTACTTCACAGTCAGGGTGGCTAGGATCTGGAACCAACTTCCAAGGGAAGTGGTGCTGGCTCCTACCCTGGGGGTCTTTAAGAAGTGGCTTGATGCCTACCGGCCTGGGGTCATTTGAGCCCAGTTTTCTTCCTGCCCAGGCAGGGGGTCGGACCTGAAGATCTACAAGGTCCCTTCTGACCCTACTTCTATGATTCTATGATTGTAATCATTAGACTGTGATTTCCTTCTCAAACTGAGTACATAGCCTTGAATTCTCATGTCCTGACAACCTCCACAATGCTCTGTGTTCTTGACCAGGTATCTCCCTAGGAACAGAACCCAGGAGTTCATGGATTGACTGCTTTGGAAGCGCTAAAGTGATGTAGCCATGATAGTCCAGGAAATATGCAAAAGGCAAGAATTTTTGTGGGTGATAACTTTTATTAGACCAACTGCCTGGTTGGGATACAATTAGACAAGCTTTTGGATATCACAGTACCCGTCCACCTGGAATATCAAGAAGCTTGTTTAAGTCTATCCCAACTTGGCAATTGGTCCAATAAAAAATGCCACTCACAAAAATTCTTTCTTTGGAAGGCTAGTCAAATACCCAGTGTCCCTTTGTTGTGTTTTAAATGCTCTCCATATATCAATCCTGAACCCATGGACATTCCCAAAATCAGTTGTCTCTGACTTGATTAATAATAAAACTGGGCTGTAGATGCTACAAACATTTTATTGACTTGTCTCGAGGCAAATACCTCTGCTTCCAAAGCAGCAAGTTTGTTCTTCACACTAAACCTCAGGAGGATTTCATAATGGCTTTGTGCCTATATCAGTGGGCTAGTATAAATAAGAGGGGAAAAAAAGACTTGCTTCCTTTTTTTGCAGCTGATCTGATTCCCTTGCCTCTGGAAGGAATAATGAACAGATCTAACATGTAACTTGCTTAGGGCATCCTCTAGACATCAGAGCTAGCCGCTCTGGTATCACAGATAGAGCAAGTAGTGCAAGATACTGATTTTTGATGCATGTGACCTGTTGGTAAGGAAGCGGAGATTTGACTAGTGAAATAACAATGCACTCGGGCTGTTTCCTTTCTTAAACTGCTTACTGATATTGGTTGTTATTTTCAAGACAAGCCAAAGACAGGTGGGTGACTCTACTGAAAGTCAGAGGGAAGTAAGCATCAAAATCCCTTAGATTGTTTTTAAAATCCCAGCCACTCTTCTCATGCCCCAAGGATTCTTATGGGACAGTTTTCTTTCTATATCTCTGCCAGGCCTGTAGGTCCATATAGCGGACAGGTTCCCTGAGCTGAACATGCAGAGATAGGTTTGAGTGGGGATTCTGAAGGGAAAAAAATGCAATAGGAGCTATAGAAACTCGGCTATGAACAGTTTAGATACCAATGGAAAAGGGACAGGTTAAAGGAATGACTAGCTCCTTCTGAGCAAGATTTGCTACTCATTAGTGTGGGCTCTGTTCTCAATGACTGCATGGTTTCATCTCTGCAGCAGTTTAGAGCTGGAGACATAAAACTGTAGTGTTTTGTACCGAGGAAACCACCAGAGTAAGTATGATTGACTACTTTCTCTCACGGTGACTGGATGCCTTACCCAATTTGATTTAAAGAAAATGATATTGCCTGTGTTTACTTAACTGTATTGATTTTAATAGATTGCATTACAAAAAGAAACTGAGCTGGTAGTTGCTTATGTTGTACTCTGTTCTACTAAATTCAAGATGCTTAGCTTTTAGTGGGTACAGAGAAATTATTTCCCATCATAAAAAGTTACTGAGGATTCTGTCCTTCTGGTTGGAATATGTTGAAAGTGGCAGTGGGCAGAAGCCATTACAAATGTAAATGACTTCAGTCATCTCTCATAAAACTTATATGGCTCCCTAATTTTTCCAAGAGAGACATTCCTCACAGTACAAAATTAGTAGAATGTGAAATACCTTCTTTGTATTATGATTCCCTATTATCATCTGTAAATCGAACTTGTGCCCCTTCCTGTAAACTCTTCTCTTGCTGAAAGAAACCTTATTGATCCAGATGACCCAGAGAGTAAGAAAGAATTATACTTGGGTGGGAGCTTGTGGCACAGCAAACCAATAGGACATTTTCTTCCTTCTCTCAGACTAGGGCTGCACATCTTCTTTTGTGGAACTCCTGTATCGGCTGAATTAGGGATCATTTCCACTAAGGCTGAGGATACAGCGTGGAATTTGGAAATTGCAGAAAATTTAACCAGCCAAAGAAACAAAGCAGTGTCTTCAGGTACAGTGAGAATAAGTAAATAATTTAATGGGAAAACAAATACAGTTCTCAAAATTAGAGTTCTCATCTTTAAATGAAGATGCTTTCCTAATAAGGTTTCACAGGGATTAGTTCAGCACCCCATGTTATACATTTTTTTTTTATCACCACTGTGAAAATAAATGTGAAGTTGCAGATAATAAAATTTGCACATTAAAACAAAGTTTAGAGGAGCTATAAACATTGATGAAGATAGGGCAGTCCTGGAAAGCTGTCTGGATGGGTGTTTTAAATAAAAATATGTATTTTGATACTGATAAATGCAACGTTATGCATCAAAGCACAAGCAATGCAGACCATACCTATAGGAAATGGTTCTGTATTCTGGAAAGTGATGATGCCAGAAAGATTACAACATAAGTTCTGAGTGGAAAACTATGGAGAAAAAGACTTAATGGGTCCATCTACATGTGCAATTAATTTGAAGCAATAAACTCCAGAGCAGTTTGAGCCAGAGTAAACTACCCTTGAGCACAGCATCTACACATGCACCCAGTACAGCAGCAATTTGAGCTGGGGCAGAGAAGTTTATGCCAGGGCCATTTCTGCCCTGGGCTCCAGGTTGTGGTGTCGTGGAAACACACGCAGCATACTTTTGGATCAGGTCAGCAGAAGCTTTTATTCAAAAGAAGCTACAGCTGTAGAGGGGACCCCAAAGTGACATGGATTTCCTAAGCACTTGGAAGGGGTTCCCCCCAAGAGCAAAATCAGGAGGCTTATATACTTTTTAACAGTTGCTACAACTCACGTGATCATATAGTGGAGTTTGCTAGAAAAAAGCAGCTACAAACACTAGTTTATACTGCTTTGCTGTTATCAGGATGGGAACTATGGGGGAGACAAAGAGAGAACTAACACCCCCTTCTTGCACCTGGAAATCAGAGTTGTACATACTTTTTTCCTGCTATCTTCAAGGCCGTGGTGAGTGAAGCAGTTGCAGAGGAGTTACAAAGAACAAACACTTTCCCTTATCTCAGAACTTTCCAAACTGTGTGCCGCGACACATTAGTGTGTCGGCGGCAGTGTGTAGGTGTGTCGCACAAAATGCAGAAAATTTTGTGGAAGGGGACCGCGGAGCTCCCTTACTCGCGTCTGCTTCCCTTGGCCCCTCCCCCGGAACTGAATTACTGTGTCGCGAAATGATGCATGTCTAAAATGTGTGTCACCAACACGAAAAGTTTGGAAAGCTCTGCCTTATCTGTTCTACTATACAGAGCCAGCAATTCCCCACAAAGCGGTTATGTCATCTTATAACTCATATAATCAAAGTTTAAGGCACTTATTTTTTTTCTGATTCCACAGTGGCATCAGGTGGTAGAGGGGCTGGCTGGGACACGAGTGCTGAAAGTGCAGAGCCATATGGCTTGGCAGCAGGCAGGAGTGCGGCCCCCTTCTATCTGGGCTGACTGGACACAAATTACACCTGCAGTCAGGATCTACATGGGCATATAATCACAGTTAATTATTCTTAACTTGCCATAAGATAGAACTTCCCGCAACAATCCTAACTTGTAGCAGTGTTAATTAGTTTACTGTAGCCTAATACCATCAGACATGTAGATGGTGATGCTTTACTCTACAGCTAATTAGTCTACTCTGCAGTAAAGTATGTGTGTGGACCCGGGCAATGTTTATAGGAAGTAGGGAAGTAAACATGATTTAAGTAGGTAATACTGGAATGCATAAAGTTTTGAAACCACATTTAATAAAAAAAAAAAGTTAAAATAATTAAGATGTTATAGAGAAAAGCCACAAAAATGCTTTGAGAGTTGGTTAAAAATGTCTTCCATTGAGCAACATAGAACTCGCATCTGAAAAAAGCATGACTTGATAGTGGTGTATCTTCATGTGAAAAAGCATCTCCATAGAGAAAAGACAACTGGTACAAAGGCCTAATTAGTGAAACAAAGAAGGGCATTAACAGAATAAACTTTTGGAAGCTGAAGCCAGAAAAAACCTCAAATGAAAGAAAGGTGTAACATGTTTTGCACTGATTTGATTAACAATTGGAACAAATTCAAGGAAACTGGTAGATCCTCTTTTAGATGATAGAGAGATATCTTTTAATCCAGTTTGGATACCTTTCTGAAAGATGCCTTAACAAATGCAAGTCATTTTTCTCAATATAGGGTAATGGAGTGAATCAGAGCCCATTTTATATGAGGTCATAAAATGGTCTGTTTTGGATTTAATCTGTCAACATAAGGCATGTCTACTCCATGCTAGCCTGTACTAGGGAGAACCCCTGTAAAAACATACTCTAGCCATTCCCTCCTATTCATGCCAACTAACTCCAAAATATCATGCAACTTCCATTTGGTGTGTATCTGGAATACACTCAGTGCTGTTTCAGTGTCTCTGTCTTAGGCTTGATCATGTGAGCATTAAAAGCAATTTTGAGAGAAACTCCATTACATTTTTGGTATGAGGTTTTTGAAGTAATGTGAAAGAATATTCTGATGGTGTGTTTTTCATGGAAGTTTTCAGGTACAAAAAAGACATGCTCTGTGAACCATGACAGTGTTCCAATTTCAGGTGCTTATGAAGTGTAATCAATGGAGCAGGTGAACTTTACCACCACTGTGAAAGAATTTCTCCTTGTGGGCCTCACCCAGAGTTCAGTGATGCAATGTTTACTTTTTGCAGTCTGCCTTGTAATCTATTTAATGACCTGGATTGGGAACCTCACCATCATCATCACTGTGATCACAGACCACCGGCTCCAAACCCCCATGTACTTCCTACTGGGAAACTTGGCCTTCATAGATCTCAGTGAGTCCTCAGTAACTGTGCCCAAGATGCTGTGGGACCTGTTGTCCAAGCACAAAACCATCACATTTGGTGGTTGCATAACACAGATGTTTTTCTTCCATTTCACTGGGGGTGCTGTTGTCTTCTTCCTCATGGTGTTGGCACTTGATCGGTATGTGGCTATCCACAAACCTTTGCACTACCTGACCATAATGAAACAAAGCACTTGCAAAGGGCTGGTGGCAGGAGCGTGGCTGGGTGGATTTGTTCATTCCATTGTTCAGGTGGTATTGACAATCAACCTACCCTTTTGTGGTCCCAACACATTGGACAATTTTTACTGTGATGTCCCTCAGGTAATCAAACTGGCCTGCACAGACACCTATTTGGTTGAATTGCTGATGGTCTCCAACAGTGGACTGCTCACCATAATTATCTTCATTATCCTGATTGGGTCATACACCATCATCTTAGTCAAGATAAGAACCCATGTCATGGAAAGGAAGCACAAGGCCCTGTCTACTTGCGGAGCTCAAATTATGGTGGTGAGCATCCACTTTGTACCCTGCATCTTCATCTATGCTCGGCCCTTCCAAAAATTTACTATGGATAAAGCAATATCAGCACTGTACACAGTCATCACTCCGATGCTGAACCCCATGATCTATACACTGAGAAACACTGAGATGAAAAATGCCATTAAGAGACTATTCAGCAAGATGATCTCAGCAGGGAAAATTAAGCTGTAATTCCTGTGTTGGTAGGCTTTTCTTATTTTTCCTATATGTAAAATTAAAAGCAGATGCTGACTAACTGAAATTGCTCTTGTTGTCTATAAAGAGAAAAGAAGAATTAAATTACAATATCCATAAAATATAGTAAGCACAATATGTTTTTTGTCTGGAACTAACGGTCTGTGAGTATACAAAGCACAGAAGAACTCAACAGTTAAATAAGAAAGTATTCCCTTTTTTAAATTTTCCACCAAAGTATGATTTTTGTATGGACATTGGATTTCCACATTTTCCTGTAGAATGTTTGTTATTGCCAGTCCGATTCTTTTATTAGTTCAATTTATTAATGAAAATCTGATGTATTTTCAGAAAAAAAATTAGTTATTAAGAGTGTACCATCCTTAAGTGAAAAGTAGTTCCTGACCAGATCTATTCACTGGTTAATTGTTATTCATTTCTAATCCCTACATTTATTTCTGTTGTTATTGTTAATACCATTGGTGGTGTTATTCACAACAAAACTGCTGTAATGGTAAGAATTGCTTTTATGTATAAATTTGTAAAATCCTTAAAACAGCATGGTTTTGCTCTGGAGCTTTGCTCAGAGCTTTTATACATGATTTATGAAATTCAGTGTTACTATCAATAATTTCAAATGAGTTTTATAACACCATATATCTAACCATGCAATCTTACTGTCACGGCAGGGTCCTACAGGAGGGCCGTGATCTCCTTCAGGCCCCCCCTCCGTGTCAAGTTGGCCCAAGGGCACCCTCTATTTCTCGCCTGCCACATCTTTGATGGTTTGAATTGGTTGGGAGGCTGCCTTATGCCCTCTCGGACACGTCTCTATGTTTATTTGGACCCCGTGGTTTTCCCAGACTCCTCGTTGATCTTGTCCTACAAGTGGGTGCTTTGGGGCACCCGTAGCCTTATGGGCTATGCGTGGCTCCCACCCCCCTGATACCACGCCCCAAGCCTCGCAGATGGAATTGACGTTGGTCTGTCTCTCTACATACACTGCCCGTCTCTCGGGCCTCCTCTGTTATGCCTCCCCCTCCTGGGCCCTTCTCTGTACCGTGACCCTCTCTCTGGGGCTTTCTCAAGTGCTGCCCCCTTTCTGGGGCTTGCCAGGCCCGCACTAGTGCTTCTCAATGAGGCGCTCCCCTCTCTGGGGCTTGGTACACCCACGCTAGGCTTCTCAATAACGCCCCTTCTCTGATTTCCACTGCTGGACCTTCCTTTGGGTCAGCCGAGCCCTCAACCTCAGCACTCGTGATCTCAGGGGGTAGGCCCTGGCCAGCACAGTGAGGGGCTTCCTCCATGGGCTCCTGTTTGGGACTGTCCAGTAGCCCCAAAACCTCCTCCATGGGGATCACCCATTTGTTCTTTCCAGGGGATGGGGTGTCAGGCGCAGGCAGGGAGGCTCCACTGGCCTCCAGTCAGGCACTCAGCAGCAGAGCAATAGGCAAGAAAACAAAGCAGGATCAGATGCAGTGAGGCAGCTCAACTCAGATGCAGTTGAGTGGTGCATCAGGGAATCTCCCTCTCTCCTGAGAGGAAGCAGCAGCAGCACAGATGGCAGCAACAGCAGCAGTGGTGGTAGTAGTCATCCAGTTCAGCCACTTGGGGGGTGGGTCAGGTGGAAGTGGAGGTGAAGGCAGGGGGTGGTCTGCCAAGGCAGCTGTGGCAGGCAAGGCACCTTTAGGCTCAGGCAGTGATGTTGTGGAAGGGCACCCCACAGGCAGTACAGGCTCCCTCCCCAGGCTGTCCCTCAACTACGGCTTGGTGGTAGGTTTGGCAGCAGGCCAGAACAGGGTGCAGAAGCTCAGGTGTGGTGCAGTGTGGTGGACCCCTTTCTGAGAGGGGGCAGTGGCATGCAGCAGAGGACCCCACCCTGTGGGTGGTAGCAGCAGCCCATGGCAGAAAGGAGTGCAGCCAATTTACCCCCAAAAGCTCTGAGAAGCAAGCCATCAGCTAGCAGTAGCCAGAGGCAGGAAAGGGCCAGGCCATCTTCTCCCCCAGAACTCCTGAGACCAAGCTGTGCATGTCCAGGCATGGCTGCTGAGGCAAAAAGCCCTGGCTCAAATTTGTGCTGCTTCTGTTTGAGTTCCTGCAAGCGCACATGCTCGCATGTGTGGATGTGCCCCATGAGTCTATAAGCAGCAAAACTTTGTCACTGGCAATAATGAAAAAGAGGAGACATGGCTCTCTTGGATCTCAGTCTTAACTCACTCTCTGGGTTTGGGCTTAAAAAAGGGGCTAACAATATTTTCATCTATCACATTTAAAGGACTTAATATAGACCTCAGAAACTGTCCTGGTACTTCAGGCAGGATTTCAAAAGAGGCCTCAGAGTTAAGTGATAGGTTATCTAGTCAGGTAAGTATTGAATGCCTTGCATTTGAAACTCATCTAACTTTATTCCAACTACATAGTTGAACCAATCAAAGATACCAACCTAAGAAATCCTTGCCTGTCGAACAATCTTTAAAGCAGTCTCTCCAAATGGAATGTTCAGAAGTAACTAAGAGAATTAGAAAGGTGAGTTCTTTCAGCTCTCAGTGGGACTCGATCATCTAGCATCCACATTGTTTCAAAAATCACTCCACCATCTTCTATATTGGTGATCAGTCAGATAGATAAATGTTTCGATAAGAGATTTGACTCTGGGATGAATAGACAGCCAAACAGACAGACAAATGCAAAGACTAGACAATATAGTATGGCTGGTTATGCCAATTAAGTCAATAGCTACAAATCATTTCTAACCAAATGTAACCTAGTTCTAGAGTCAAGATACCTTTTCCCCCCAGGTGCCATGTCCATTAAGGCTTGAACATTTATTCTATTTCATTCAAAGCACTAAAGATGATCCCATCACTGTTATTTCCGGGCTTTTTGGTAAGATTAGGAACAGACATATTCTAACTCAGGTGTCTGCTCCTCATCTCTCTCTGATGTAATATATTTTTATGTTCTATTCATTTTCCATGTTAAACGGTTGAAAAATTGACTGTCTGTGTGTGGCCAATTGGTTTAACAATTGCCATCACCCCGAGACAAGGCACGCTATTCCTTATCAGCAACTGCCATACAGAACCCAGAAGTCCTAACTGCTTTTCTTTCCTGCTGTTATCCCATAGTCAGATTTCTCTTCCACTGTCTGTAACAACCCAAGAGTTCTGTGTTACTTCTAGAGGGACCTTTAAAATGGGAACTACTTTTCTTGTGTTTCATTTATCCCATCTTGTAATATGAGGCAGCTCCTTACCAAAACACATTTGGCTCTGTCTCTTTGGATTGGAGGAGGAGGAGGAAGATATTATTAAACTTCCTAATTTAGTTGCTTCAGACAGAATTCTCAAACCTCCAAAGTGGCAACATTTTTGATCCTGGCAGGAAAATCTCAGAGGGTTTTTAGAGAAAATTTAATTTTAGTACTTATGCTACTTTAGGAGTTAGAAATTATATAAGTGGAAAATTTGGGGGTCTGTCTGATTTTGAGAACTAGATCTAATTTTCCTGTCAGATAGGAAATCAACAGATATTGCTGAGATTTGACCTTGTTGTAATATTTTTAATGCTTAGAGGCATCTGGTTCTTCAATCACAGACATAGCAGACTTGAAAAGGCCGGGACTATTGATGTGATGCATTAATCATACAGTATAATTTTGAGGCTATGCTAGTTTATTCAGGAGGAGATAGACTTTCAGAGATCCAGCTGCAAGGAAAGAGAGATCAGGTTATAGATATAATATTTAGTATTTTAGGAAGGACATCTCACATTCTACTTCTGCTTATAGGAGCACAAAGATCTATTCGTTTCCAAGGGCAGCTCTTGATTACTTTCAAAGGCAGCTCTTCAGTTTTCTTGGAGGGACATTTCCCTCTAGTGAAGCCAATGAAGACTTTTACCTTTCACAATTACATATAGGTAAAGAACTGCATTCCTGGCTGCATCACCAATTGCCTACATGTGCAGACTAGGCACAGTCAGAAGGCTATGCATTGGCTGGGTAAAAAGCCAGGGAAGGCACTTGAACCCCTTGTGGATTCATAGTGGCCTTAGAAGTCTGAATGTTTACCATATACCATGACTACTGGAACCTGTATTCAGAAACAAAGGAGGGATGTGTGGGAGAGGAAAGCCTCTTATATTTTGCCCTCAGTAGCTAAGCAGTCACCTGCAAAGTGGAAAGATCCAAGTTCTAGGCCCCCTTGCCCAGAGTTGGTTGGAAGCTAGGTCTCACTGACTGCCCATAGTTGAACCAGCATGTCACAGGGCAGTAACCACCCAGGTGCTTCTCTAGCACTTTCTTGAGGTTGGTCTCTGAACAGCTAATAGTGGAAGGCTTGTAAGAAATATGTAGGGCCTGGAGAAAGGTGGAGGGTGTGTGGCTGAGTGAAGAAATAGCCACTTGGATGGCCGGAAAAGACTAGAACATTATACTAGATGTATACAAATCATGTTAGAAGGCTTTGAGATGTCATATATATATGACTGATGTCATATATAATTGTTATGGTTAGAGATATCAATATTATCATTGTTATTATTGTATCTTAGGTTTTGCAAAGTGGAAAACACTGAGACTATTTAACAAATTAAGGTTCTGATTTCTTTCCTGAGAACAGGAGTTTCCACAGTAACCGCTGAATGGCAATTTTAATTTCAGCATTCCTCAGTGTGTAGATCACTGGGTTTAGCATGGGGATGCCCACTGTGTAGAGCACAGAGATTGCCTTATCCACTGCAAATTTCTGCAAGAGTCTGTCATAAATGAACATGGCAGGTCCAAAATGCAAGCACCCCAATGTAATCTGTGTAGTACAACTGGAAAGAGCTTAGTGCTTCTCTTCCATAATGTGCATTCTTATCTTGGTCAAGATGATAGTATAGGAAATGAGTAATGCAAAGAAGACCCCAGTGATTACAAACCCATTGTTGGAGACCATCAGCAAGTCTATCACAGGTTTCTGTGCAAGCAAATTTCACAACCTGTGGGCCAT